GAGGCAGTTATGATAGTAACAAACTGACATTTATATAGTGATTTAAGGTGTGCAAAATAGCTTACAAACATTATCTCGTTTAAGCCTAACAACAACCCTGTGAGTGAGGTAGGTACTACAGATATTACCAAACTCATTTTATATTTGAGAAAACTGAAGGACAAGGAGGATGAGTAGATTGTTCATGGTCACCTATCACAAACAATGTGTCAGCAGCAGCATTTGAACACAGATCCTCCCAATTTCAAGTCCACTGTTCCATCCTAAGCAAATAAGAGTGGGAATCAGAAGACTCTCCCAACAAGTGAGTGAGTTAATGGTATTCCTCTATCAACTAAAACGAAGACCTCTGTTAATCTCTAAGATTTTGTTTCTGAACATAAACTCACAATGTAGACATGAACAGGATATTAAACAAAAAAGGCTTAAATATTGACAATTTCGTAAGAGTTCTCTGCACACACGCAAAATCTGACCAAATTGATAAAGAGTCAAAATAGAAGCTCCACAAGAGAAAGAAAATCAGAAATCCAATCAGTGAATTATGAAGATGACAGTTTTGGTTACTTTATTTACCAAGGCTATCCCTATAATTTCTCCTTCATTATCTAACTAAAACCTTAATCCTTCTCATTACTTTTGAGTATACAAACTAACATTCTAATCTTTTCCCTTAAAAATTTTTGTTTCTCATCACTTCTTCCATTTCAAATCTCATCTTTCAAACCTCCTATCTCTTGCTAAAAACCATATAGCTTCTGATCCAAGCAATTATGGATTTCAAAAACTCAGCCCCAAATGATTTGGTAAGATATGAACAAAAGTAAGTATCACCATCCTGATGACAACCAAGGATATTGAGAGAAATATGAAAACTGAAGTATAGGAGCCAGGATTATGATTAAGGTAATAGGAACAACTTCTAAATGTTAACCAATAAAATATATTATTCTATTTTTTATTAAAAATATGCTGTAATTTTGACTTAATTATGTTGAGTTGATGAAGTATAGTTGAATAAAAACATAGTACTTACTAGAGTAAAATTACGTGATAGGACTATGTTCAAACAGCATTTGACAGTACCTATCAAAATCGAAGAGACATGGCAGGTGCCTGATAATTAATCTTCAGTTGACAGTTGACCTCACATAAATTTTAGTGTTGGCCTGTTCTGGTTACTACCTTTAACATTTTTCATAAAGGATCATTAGGAAATAGGGAATTATTTATTAGGAAATAAACTGTGTAGAACTTTAATAACCAGCAGCTATCATAACATTTATTCTCTAAATCAGGGAGCCAATACAAATTTTAATCTATACAATGAAGGAATAGAATCTGACCTTGGTGATTTAAATATCAAAAATAACAATTTAGTGACTTTTCAGAAAATTGTGTTCAAATTAAAATACAACTAAAATATAATAAGCAAGGCTACCAAAAAGTTGGATAATCCAAATAACAATACCTACATTAAATCACCTACAATTCTGTAATTTCTATCTTTCAAAAAACACAACCCACTAAGTTTGTACCCTCAAATAACTATGGCTGTTTTGAAATGCAGTTAAGATTTCTTTTTCTATTTTTAAATAAATTCTTTACAGTAATCAGTCCTTGGCATGCACGGCTTTGTTCCGGCATGAAGTGTGGCTTTCAAAGAGATGATGCCTCATAAACCTGATCAGAAAGGAGAATAAAATTATTTAAGTGGTTTACAAGTCAAAATCTATTTGATTAACAGACATCCATGTTAAAGAATTTATGTAATGATTCTGGTTTCAGGGGATATATTACCTTAAAGAAAACCCCTTTATCAACTTAAAGGAAGCAGAAAACATTAAACTGGCTAAGTGTGTAAAAGGAGGTAGACACATTCTTTAACCTCTCCAAGGGCATTCTGACAGGCAAAGCAAATGAAGTACCCTTAGTAACTGCAAGTTGGACTTTATCAGGTAGTAATGTTAAATGCACAGCTACCAGTTGCACAAGTAAAGAAGGCTACACTCTCACAAAGCACTTAACATAGCTTCAGAAGACTTATGGTATACATCATATACATACACTGTACATCAAATAGTATTTGATAGTTCTGTGTCACTTAAATGACAACAGAAATGAAGACAGCACTTTGGTTCAACTATTTTTGCAGCTGTACATAGAAAATACATTATAGTTTTTCGGTCACAAATACGATACATCTCTTTTTCTATCTGCTTTGGGAAAAACTAAGTGACCTTCAATGACCTTATCAATTTAAATGGGACCTAATCAATGTATACTGGCCTAGTACAGGAAGGGGCTAGGGAGTATACCTACTTGAAGAAGGTCCAGGACAACCACAAAGACCGCCCTAAACATCCTTCTTGTTTATTTGGACCAAGTAAAATACATCATTTCATCAAGAAAATGAAAATAAGTTGTATAGGAATAAAATAACTTAAAAGGATGCCATCCAGACTTAATACAAGTTAAAAGCAGTGAATTAAGAAGAAAAATGATAACACTGTAACTAAATGACCTCTTAATTAATCATCTGTCCTCAGTCTTAAACTACAGGGGGTCGAGAGAAAAAATGTGATCCCCATCAAGAGGCTCTCACAAGGGAGTCTCCACATGAGGAACTCTCATCCAATCCCCTTCCCAGCTGACATCCCGTGACCACCATGGAGCTTATTTGGAGAAAAGTAGACTGGGAGCCCGCAAGCTGGGCTGGCAAAGGGCGCTAGAACCTGGCTGCTCACTGAGAAAATGTCTCCTTGGCAGCTGCAGCCACCGTCCTGTGGTCTGACTTCCTAGGGCTGACTAGCAGACGAGGTGTGCCTCTAGCGTCTCCCCACCCCCTTTTCCCCTCCTCTCGGCAGCTCTTAAGAGTCTGCAGAGGCGCCTCTACCGAGGCTACTCCACCTTGCAAAAAGAAAAAAAAAACCCTGTCTGCACTCAGCTCAGAGCTTGCCTTCCGACTCAGCAGGGTGACAGTAGCCAAGCAGTAATTCACCGCCCTTGCAGAACACATCCCTTTCCTTGCCAGTGGCAGGTTATTAAGCAAAAAATATATTTGTATTTTTTTCTTTTTTTTTCCCCCCTACACTAATTCCTCATACTCTCTGAATTGCGGCACCTCCTCCCCAAAGCACACTTGGAGGCTTTGCCTTAAACACCCTTTCACCCACCAATTCAGATGCTTCTCTACTGGGTAAAAGATGTTTCCCCCTTCCTCTCACCCAGACCTGCTTGGGCTTCTTGGGTGGAGTACAGATCCTTCAAGTGGCCTCCAATGGGAACCATGTTAACCTTGCAAGGCACAGCTTTCACACCCCTCTGCCTATAAGCCTTCTGTGTTACAACCCCTCCAACCCTGACAGCCTCCCAGACAGAAGACGCCTAACCCATCCCTTCCCCACCCTCCTACAACATCCACTTTAGCCAGCTATCCCAGAGACGCCCCCCTCCCACTCCCACTCTCATCTATTCCATCCCAAAGTCAATATAACAGGGAAAAAAAAGGAGCCAGGATTTTTTTTTTAAGCAAATACCGAGATATTTACCAGGATCAAATTCAGGGATCCGAGCTTGGTATTCAGCGCCGACTCTCATCCCAACATCTGCAAAGCAATACAAAAATAAATAAATAAAATATTTTTTAAAAAGAAAAAGAAAAAGAAAAAAGCACTTAATAAAAATTAAAATTGTAGAAGACTAGAAAGAAGGAATGTGGTGGGTGGGAAAATAACTCCAAGCCCCTGGCGAAACAGATGCAAATGAGGGGGCCTGGGGTGGGGAGGGACGACTAATGGGGGGGAGAGGAGTGGAGGAGGGGGTCGCGGTGGGTGCTGCTGCTGCGGCTGCACTGCACCGGGAGTTCGAGGCTACCGCAGCGCCCGGGCTCCGAGGGGAGGGAATAGGGAGGGGGAGGGGTTGGGGGAGGGAGTGAAGAAGGGGGAGGGGAGGGGGGAGCGAGAGGGCTGGCGGGGAGGAGTTCGAGGCTACCACCGTGCTCGTCGTCGCTGCTGCAGCCGCTCTCGGGCTCCGAGTAGTGGAGCCCGCCGTTGGTGGACGAAGCGCCGCCGCCGCTGCCGGCCGGGCTCTTGGTGTTGCCGTTGGCCGTGCGGTTCTTCCCGAGGAATTCAGGCCCTTTCTCCATCATGCCCGGCATGGTAGAAAGGGGGAGGAGGGAGGAGGTGAGGGGGGAGAGGTAGGCGTCTGGACGAAGGGGGGAGAGGGCTCCTGAGTGAGGGAGGGAGAGGGAGGAGGAGGAATGGAAGGAGGATGAGGAGGGGGAGGTGGAGGAGGAGGAGGGGGAGGTGGAGGAGGAGGAGGAGGAAGGAGGAGAGAAGGAGGAGGGAGGAGGAGGAGAGGAGGAAGGAGGAGGAGGAGGAGGAGGAGGAGGAGGAGGAGGAGGAGGAGAGGAGGAGGAGGAGGAGGAGGAGGAGGAGGAGGAGGAGGAGGAGGAGGGTGTTAATGTGGAGCCGCCATAACCGCCCCGGTCAGGCAGTAGCGCAGTCGCCTCATAACAACCCGCCCCTGTCCCGCCTCCCCTCGCTTCCCCTCCCCTGCCTCCGCCCCCGGGGCCCCCGGCTGGCCTGGCTCCTCGACCTCCCTCCCCGCCGCCACCGCGACTGGTATCACTCCGCCCCGCGGGGAGGATCCGGCTGCTGGCGGGGGAGGGGGCGGCGGGTGGCTAGAGCTGGGAAAGGAAGGTAGGAAAGGGAAAGCCCAGCTCCTGGAGAAGGCTCTGGCCGGCCCCCAAGCCAGGCCGGGCAAAGCCACGGGCGGGGCGGGGCGGGGCCGGGCCAGGCGAGGGCTGCTCTGGCGCCCTTACATGGAGAAGGAGGCGCGCTGGGGGCTCGCGTTTGCCACCCGAGTTGAAGGTGGAGTTGGGGGGCAGGGGCGGGGGCGGGACTCTTTGCAGTCGCTGGGGCGGAAGGAACTCGGGTCAGTCGAAGGGAAGGGAGGTCCGTGAGACGGCCGCCTTCAGTCTGGAGGAGGAGGTGGGAGAGGCTGCTTCAGCCGCGCAGGCGGAGCGCCGAGGGTGGGGTGGGGAGGAGACTGGGAGGTGGTCTGCCGTGCAGCCCCATCTGTTCCCGGATGGATGCTATGGGGTCCAGTTCCCGACCCCGGGGCTTCTCTGCGGGCTGAGCCACAACCGTCCAGCTTCCATTTGCTCCTCACTGGGTCTGGGTCCTGAGCCTCAGCCCGTGAGAAGGATAGGCTTCCTTCCGCTCGCTCTCCTGTTAAGCCAACAACTACCCCCCAAAGTGAGATCTTATTCATTTTGTTAAGCCTTTTGCCGGGTCCTACACCTGGAGGCCGAGGAAGGTGAGAAGGTGTTTCTGGGCTGGGTCACTCGGTTGTGTGTTGTCTGGATTTCCTTCTTTTCTCTCTTCTTCCTCACTCCTTTCGTTTTTTTCTTCTTGTTATTTAATATTTATGGAGTGACTGAGAAAGGGGGAAGATAAGATTTGGAAAGGCTCCCAGCCCTGTTGGCTCAGAGTCAGTCCTTTACAGACAAGCCAGTTGGAGGAAGGCAGTGAGATGAGGAGTCGGGGTGTAGCCCTAATCTAGAAGTGAAGAAAGAGCTGTTTTCTGGAGGTGTTTTTCAGTCCTGAAGTGACCCTTTGAGGTGTCGGCTCAAAGTGATGAAAGAAGTTACGCCAGGCAAAAGAAAACAGCGTGGGAGAATGCCCGTCAGTGTATCTCGTTCCTACTCACACACCTCCACTCCTTGACTATTTCGTAGAGTAGGTGAAAAAGGAAAGGATTCACGCGAGCATTATCAGTGTTTTGATAAAAGCTTTGTTTTTTCCTAGATTGGGGGAGGAGTGAAGAGGAATCTTCCAAAGGTTTTGGACTTTGAAGCTCTTCTGGACTTAAGGGTTTGGAATTCAAGCTCTGACACTCTAGAACCTTGACAGTAATTTTTAATAAGACCTTGGGAAAATTGGCTCATACTGGTCAAACTCAGTGGTATCAGAATAATTTGTAAATGAAGTTTTAATTTTTTGATCTAGATATAATTTCCTAGAAAGATTATTTTTATGTATAAGTGTTTTGAATTCTAATGGAAAATATCCCCTTTTCATAGAGGTAGCCTAATTTAACACAAGAAGGTTGCTTCTATATTAAGAACCTGCTAAATGTGGTAGGTTCTAGGGTTTATAGACGATACAAAGATTCAATTCAACAAGGATAAGTTGTAAGAAATTTCCCAGACACTTTGGGATTGAGGATACAAAGAAAAATGAAAACAGTTCCAACACTCATGGAGTAACGTTTTACTGGAAATAAGACATCACCTCTGATTTAATTCATAATGCTTCAGGGAGCAAAAACACTGATATACAACGCTGTGTAATAAATATAGTGCTGAATGTATTAAGCATAAAATGCTATGTAAGGTATGAAAAGGAGAAAAGTTACTTAGGTTTTTTGGAGAATATAGTTGAGCTAAGTCGTCAAAGATAAACCTTTCAGCAGTCGGATGGTTTAGGATCTCAGAGCTAACTAAAAAGGTACGGTGACATAGCTTGCCCAATCTTGCTGGACTGGGCACTCCCACATCCTTTGTCTGCAAACAAAGCAGAACAGGTGCTCTCATGCAGATTCTGTACACATATGTGTTCCAAGTGTCTTTACTGTGCCATCCTTAAGTATATGCCACAAAAAGACTCAAAGTGGCTCTAGCAATTCTGATTCTATCCAAGTTTTACATCGCAAGAGTCTCTAATTGCTTCATGGCAAGGGTCTTTTAATATTCGCTAACTCATTCAACAATAAATATTTATTGACCATTATGTATAAGTCATTTTGTCTGTTTTATACAGTGGGGACCTGCAATTAAGTTCAAACAAATATTAAGTTCTTACATGGAAGGCAGTGTGCTACACCAAGATATATAAATCATAGTCCTTACTCTCAAGGGATTTATAGTTTAGGAAAAGAGATAAGATAGCACAGCAACTATAATAGGAGGGAAAATGTGTTAAGTGTTATATGAGAGAGACAAAAAGTGTTATGAAACTAGAGGAACTAAGTTTTACATCTGGTTAGGGGAATCAGGGAAAGCTTGAGGGAGATGGTATTTTGTCTGGGCCTTGAAGAATTTTTACTATGGACACTATGCAAAGTGGAGGGGATAACATTAAGGACAGTTTATAGATACAAAAAGGACATATTTCAGGAACGGCAATTAGTCCAGTTTGGGAGTTAGAGTACATGAATGTGCAAAAGAATAGTAAGAAGATTACTGACAAAGGGGTCAAGAAAATGACTGAGACAATGTACTCTTACATCAGGTTGCCTACGTTAAGCCCCTTGAGACAGAGCTGTAGTCTTTTGGGCACCACTCAGTAACTTTTAGACTGAAGCGAAGGATCATAGAACTAGAGGAGACCTTAGAGACCTATATAGAGTCTCTTTATTTTTCCAAGGGGAACTTGGAACTCAGGGAAGTTAAGGGATTTGCTCAAGGCCACAAGTTTGTGGCAGAACCAAGACTGGAGTCAAGGTATTCAAACTCAGTCTGGTGACTGCATCTTCTTTATGTTACATTTAAAAATGCTCTCTCCCTCCTCCAAAACCTGGTAGCATTAATTTTCTGGATTATTAATGTCTTACATGCCCAGCTAAATTTAAAACTTCTTGAGAGAATGGATGGTGTCTTTATTCATTCAACAAGTATTTATTAAGCACGTATATGCTGGGCATCCTACTACCTGCTGGGCCTCAGACAAAAACAATAGCTCTTGCCCTACTTTCTGTTGAGTTCTACCCAGACCAGCAACTGTCTATTGGACTTTTCCAGCTGAATGTCCTATTAGCATCTCATTTTAATCATGTCCAAAACAGAACTCATCATTTCCCCCAAATTCATCCCTCTACCTAACTTCCCTATGGTACCTTTGGGAGTACAGCCATCCTTTTAGTCACACAATTTCACAGCCTTAGATTCCTACTTGACTGTTTCTTCTCCCTCATCCATTTCCCCATATATATTTAGTCTTTTGATTTACCCCCACAGTTCACATTTATCCCCTCCTTTACAGTCACAACTGCCATCCTACTTTAGACCCTCATCAGCTCCTAAACTATATCAATAGCCTCCTGTTGGTCTTCCAATCCATTTTCACACAGCTACCAAAGTAGTGTATCCTAAAGTACAGGTCTTAATATGTCACTATCTCGTCTGAGAAGGTACAAGTAGCTTCTTTTTACAAACTCTAGGGTTAAATAGACCTCAGATACACAGCTAGGGGTGTATGGGGTGTTTAGGAGGGACTAGCATCTCTGGTGTGAGGGCTTACTGAGCTGTTTTCAGGGCTACTCATCCACCTTTGATGTCCACCTTTCACTCAACTCCTAACTGGCTCCAAGAAGCTGTAGCATGCACAGTGGACGGGCTCATCAGATATACAGCAATAACAACTCAGCAGATGGGCTAAACCAGGTTGAGGGTAACCTACAGGTCTCAAACCTGTGGGTGAGTTAGGGGGATAGCCACCCCAAGTATGTGAACACTTCCTGGGGAATGGGTGGATGAGAACAATTTTGTTCTAATAGCCATGAAGGCGGCTGAAGAAGCTGTTTTGGAACACTTTGAGCTTTGTCAGGCATCAAAGATGTCAAGGTCATCCACTGTATCCCAGACCATTGGCAGTAATTTTGACTTTTGTCTTGTCACTGGACTTCAGTGACTCTGGAAGAGAGCATGAGGCTGATGACTGTGCAACTCTGCCTCACTTAAATCCAATTCACTTGTAAATCAAGACACCATCCCCCGATGTCATGAGAAAGGATAAACAACAGGTCAAATACAAATCCCTGTATTTGGCATTTAAAGCCATTCACAATCTGGTTCTACTCTTCACCCCCATCCCCAATTTACTACATATTACTCATGTTCATACATTCCATGAACCATCTACACTAGGCCACTTGATGTTTGTTGCTCACACACAGAATTCCATCTTCTGTCTCCATTCCTTTGCATAGGTTTCCTTGCATGCCTAGAACATACACTACCTGTTTGAATTCCTAAATTTTTTCAAAGCTCAGTTTAAGGCACCACTCTCTACGTTGTCTTTCCTGCTCCCATCCCACATATTCCCATGTGTTTACATTGTTGGGTTTTCCTTTGGGGGGGGAGGGTGGGACTGCATCTGTGATTTCATTGGTGTAGGGAAAGGAATTAGCATTTATTAAGTACCTGCTGTGTGCCAGTGCTAAATGCTTTGCAGATATTTTTCTTGTTTGATCCTCATAACTCTGTGAGGTAATGCTATTACTATCACCCCCCATTTTACAGTTGAGGAAACTGAAGCAGGCAGAGATGAACTGATTTGTCCAGGGTCACACAACTATTAAGTGTTTGAAGCCAGATTTGAATTCGAATGTTCCTGACTGCCAAGAGCAGCTTTGTGGCACAGTGGATAGAGTGCTGGGTCTGGAATCAAAAAGACCTGGGTGCATATCTGTCCTCAGATACTTACTAGCTGTGTGACCCTGGACAAGTTACCTAAACTTGTTTGTCTCAGTTTCCTCATCTGGAAATGAGCTGGAGAAGGAAAGGGCAAACCACCCCAGTATCTTTGCCAGGAAAACCCAAAAAGGGTTCGTGAAGAGTTGGACACAACTGAATAACAACAACTTGCTGACCTTGGGCCCAGTGTTCTATCCACTGCACCACTTAGCTGCTTCTATAAAAGGGAACTCATGTTGAGGAATGTCTACAACCAGTGCGGTGTGGCACCTGCAATCTGTAGTCTGAGTGGCCTGGGGACACAAAAAAGTTAAGTGACTTGCTCAAGGTAACAGCCCCTATTTGACTTTGAACTTGATTTCATGTATTTCTGACTCAGAAGACAGCTATATATCCAATACTTCGTGCTGCCTACAAATGCATTTATTTTGTATATGGTTTGTATCTATTATAGATGTGTGTGTCACTTACATGCCCACAGAATGTCAACTCCTTGAGAGCAAGGACTGTTTTTATCTTTGAATCACTAGCAAAATGCTTAACATATAGTAGGTGCTTAATAAATGCCTGTTGATTGATTGACTCAAAGAACTTGCATTCTATTTGGGGAAAGCAATATTCACAGAAAATGTACTGCATGTACATATATACATACATATATATGTGCATAAAGTAGTTACAAAGTAACTTCTGGAAGTTGAGTACTAGCATATGGTGGAATCTGAGTCAGTTTTTTGTAGGACCTCAGCTAAACACCTCCAGGAAGCTAGAAACTTTTTGAGGCGGAGATTTGATAGTGCATTCCAAGCATCTCCATGTTAGTACAAAGATGGGAGATGGAACATTGTGTGTGAGGAGCAGCAAAAAAGGCCATTTTGGCTGAGCCAAAATGTGAAAGTAATGTGCAGTAAACATGGAGAGGAAAGCTGGGACCAAACTGTAAGAGACTATTTAAATGTCAAACAGGAGTTTGTATTTTATCTGAGAGGTAGAAGGGAACTGCTAGAACAGGGGAATGACATGGTCAAACTTTGGCTTTAGGAATATCAGTTTGGCATACTATACTTTGTATTCCCAGCGTCCAGCATCTAGTAGATAATAAATGTTTGATGATGATTATAGCTTTTATAGGGATAGATGATAGGGAACCATCTAGTATTCTGAACTAGGGATATCTGCTTTAAACAGTACCTGACATAAGATTTAAACATGGACAGAGAAAGATAGCTGTGCTTACTGTTGATTATAGAAAATAAATATTTCCTTGAAATCCTTTAAATTGTTTAATGCCTTTTTCCAGAGACTGTAGATGGGATGCAGGTACTTTGATCTGTAGCTATTTTAGATTCTTAGTTTTAGGAGCTGCCAGAGTAGGAGGTCTAACAAGGGACCATCAAGGAGGGTATGGATGCCTCCAGAATAAAAAAGACCTAACATCCATGTAAGCAACTTGAGTCGACAGATTGTAGACTTTGCACTCCTTTTGTAACAGCTTCCTGTTTTTCAACAGATTCCCTTGGCTTTTATCCCTGATTTGCAATTGGCCTACCTCTTGTCTCAGCCCCTGCTTCTGGTAACACTCACTATTCTTTGGATTCCATCCTTCTCTTCTAGTCTCCAACATCAGCTTCCTCTACCCCTAAAGAGGATTACTCTTCTCCTGACCTGAATATTGCCCCAATTACTGTAATGTTCTGGTTCAGCTTCATATCTCCCATAATAGATAGCAGTGCTCTAGTTTTTTAATTTATTTTGCTTTTACTTCCTTGGCAAGGATAAAGTAATATTCCAAGGGGTTTCTTTACATACAGTGACAGTATCTGTTTCCTCTTTGAATCTGATTCCTAGGAGTAATGTAACTTTATCCAGCCTTCATAGAAAAGATTCTGTTCTTATGTTTTGAACAAAGATACTTGTGTTTACTTCTTTCCTAACCTCTAATATAAGGCTTTCTATATAGGTACTTAGTGTTTGTTGAATTAAATTATGAAATTCAGTAGGTATAAATATAAAGTCTTACATTTGAGGTTCAAAGAGTCAGCTATACAAGTACAAGGTAAGAGGCATTGTTTATGGTTTTTCAAAAACAAAATCTAGCGCTTTTAGTGCACTGCAAGTTCAGTGAATCAGTAATGTTATATGACAGCCAAAACAATATGATCTGGGGCAGTTTTAAGAGAGCTGCAGTTTCCGGAGTTAGGAGTGGATAGTCCCTCTGTACTCTTCCTAGTCAGATTGCATCTGGAAGATCACATTCATTTCTAGGCACCACAGTTGAAGAAGGACATTAATAAACCGAAGAACATCCGGAGGAGG